GTTCTCTCGTAAGTTTTATTTTTCTGACGTGTTCTCAACGATGTAAAGATGTGTGAAGTGTGGTGTAGGGTTGTGTTGTGTATTATATTGAAAGATTTGAAGGAATGAATGATTTGATTTGTTTTTACTTTTGTCACTATCATTAATTTATAGGCTTCAAAAAGTAATAACAGTTACATGTCAATTCATTGCCTATGATTAAAATTCGTAGGTACTTTAAGAATGAATACACGTACTATACATTTATTTATTAAATTATCGAAAACTTGTTGTCGATATAGGTACTTATATATAAGTAACTCATTTTCTAGCAAATTCCGTATAAAGAAACTAATGAAGTAACCTTTGCATAGTGTCGTTAAAATAAATAATTTTTCCGCTCATTTATTACCAATAAACATTGATTTAGTGTATTTTTACTTTAATTTAGTGTATTTACTTAAACAAAGACCCTTTAAAAGCGAGGCTTATAAAATTTGTTTATGAAATACGTAAATTCACGTCGTTACAAGGTTATATTGTGTAAATTTTATGAACTGTAATAGGAAACATCCTAGATTATTTTTAGTATAAAAATTACGACTGCAGTGCTTCTACAAACGTCTAATTTGAAAGCGTCCTTACGTAATGTGTGTAATTATTACTGACATCCTGTTGTCATTCGAACTAACAAGTACCTACGTATGTAATTTGCAACATGTGCGAGAGAAAAATGGCGCCACTCAATTGATTTCACGGTGCTTTGCAATTTGCAATTTGCAAAAAAAAAATAAATCTTACGATTATAATCCTTCGGTGTAAGAAATAAAGATAAATGTTATATTTACATTTTATATACGTCACATGTTAATTGGAACAATATCAATTTTAATATTTAATATCGACTGGCAGCTAATGTGAATCGATAAAAATAAAACAAGTGCCGAAATTGGCCGTTTTGTTTTGGATTCTTTTATTGTCATAATAACCTCGACGACTTTCAAAAGATGTATGTGGTTTGGTGTTATCATAATGCAATACGCCATCTTTATTATTCCCCAGTTCAGGGTGTTTTTCATGAATTATAAGGGCGCGTTCAAATTAACCGCTGTTGCCGCGCGACTGAAGTGCAACCAAATTTTCCAATGCCTTTTTTTTTACCCAGTCGATTTGAATAACTGGCGGAACTGCTATACCATATTGCAGGTGTTGTTTTACATTATCTATAAATTCTTCAATTTCATTTTCATCCATCGTGGTTAATTTAAAAAATTATCATGCACACCTCACCAACCGTGACTGCAACCGAGCGGGAATGCAGAGAATTCTAGAAATTGTATGACTAGTGATACGGCCGCCGGATCGAATTTAAATCTTTCCCGCGCTAAAATATTATTTTTAAAATGATCATAGACAACTTACACAACATTTTAAAAGAAAAATATTTTTATTATTATTTAAAATTACATAGCTTTATAATTTACTAGTGGCAAAAAGCGCACGACTTTTTGATCAACCCATTCATATAGGTCAATGAACCCATTACTTAAAATAAACTGAGGCGTATGTAGCGCGCATGTTGAAAAATAATTACAATTATTTTAACCAACCCATCTTATTCGTAATAAAACTAATACGTATTGTTCAATACAAATACCATACGACAAATAAATATTATTCCGGTTTGGGCAACTATTGTTACAAAACAGCGATTTGTTTCTTGTTTCATTATAATTGTATTGGTTTTACCCATTGACTTACAATTATATGGACGTCGGGTCCGCGCTAAAAAGTGTCCGCACTTGTAAGGCGCTAAAATCGTATACAGAGCGCGACACTCCGCTTTAGTCTTCATTTGTTCTACGGACAGCGCGATACTGCGATGACATAACAATTTAAATTTCGAATAGGTTGACTTGGGACATTTTTTTCGTGGTTTTTGTATTAGACCCGTCGTCCATTTATTTGTAAGTCAATGGTTTTACCCGTAGATTTAGTATATCTAAATCTATGGTTTTTACCATAAGGTTTTACCATTAAAAAAGCATAACTTTACTCGAATTATTCAAATGTTTAACGAATACCACATAGTTAAAACGTTTTTGGAGTTGAAGCAGTATTTTTAACGTTTTTGATGTTTATGTAACGACTGTAATTAGGTATGTACTGATGTCGTATAATAACTATTATAGAATAATTATCTTAATGCTAACAGACGTCGAAGACATGTTCATACCAAAGGGAACGACCGTAGTCCTGGACATTATTCACATGCAGCGACGTGCCGATATCTACGAAAAGCCATTAGAGTTCATACCAGAAAGATTCAGCACTTTAGAGAAGATCGAGTCGAAGAACGCCTTCTGCTGGCTGCCTTTCAGTGCTGGACCCAGGAACTGCATTGGTAATTTACTTTTTTAGTCATTCTATATAATGCCCAAACGTGGCTAACGTATTAATTTAAAAACACACTTACGCGTATCGTGGGCTCAGTGGTAAACTCATTACCTTGTGTGAGACTGTGATTAGAAATACTGAGGTTTTTACATTAAAATATTCTTAAAAATCTAAACACCTAGTTATTGTGACAGAAATTCGTACATGCAGTGCCATTTTTGATTTTCCGAATGTATTTTCACCAATTTTACTTTATTATTTTCTCCATAAATGTCCGGACAACGGCATATCAGACTACACATTTTTGTTCGAAAATCGCCTCCATTGCAACGGAACAAGATACGTCAATGTGTAACTAGATGTGCTGGCGTGTGTACAAAATGACTTTTTCCCTTAATAGGATTAAAGAAATTATGGTCTATTAAAATTATAACATTGCATAATTTTGATTCAAATATTTCTTAACAAAGTGGAGAATGTTAATAACGAAACAGAGACAACTTAATGGAAATTATTGTAACTGTTTTTTTTTTGTATGTGTGTTACGCGATAAAGATCTGTGGACTGATTTTGATAATTCTTTTTTTTTTAAAGAGGGTACCTCAGTAGTGGTCCCATTTAATTTTAAAGAAAATGTTCCACCTCTAAGGGTGGTTTTTCACGCATGAATATTATTTTTATAAATAGCGCCTAAATTTTATAAGGAGCAATTATCTTAATGGTTGATTTTGCTATGCTCCGATTGGAGGTTAAAACTAGGCAAATAGACGTAATTGCACGAACTTTTGAGTCGGTTTTTAGTACTCTGTACTGAGATTATAACCATCACTGTCTTCATCGCCGCTCTTTTCTCTTGTATTATAAAAAACTCTGTATTACCAATTCACAGAAAAAATATGTTTTGCAATAATTCATTAAGTGCATAATGAATTTTTCTCGAATGAGTTTTTAAAATCATTTATTCATAGTGAGTTTTTCATTTTATTAATTAAATAATTTTAAGGCCTCTGGCGCGCATATCGATTTTTTTCCTATCATAGATAATATTCTTTACTAACAGTTAGTGACATTACCAATTTTGGTAAAAAGTGTAAATAATGAGTTTCACCTCTCAGCCCCACGATATATTAATGCATTTTATGCGCTTGCATTCTCACATATATTAAATAAATCACTTATGAACAGCTCGTTTATTGACAAGTCACTCCGCCATATTTTTTCACCAATCATTTGACCTTGATTTCCCGCGAAGTCAAATATTTGTAACAAATTACCGAATGAGGTGCCACAACCACACCGGATTTGAAAGACAATTTACCAACTCTTATGTAAAATTGCTAACACATGGTACTAGAAAGAAAGTGTAAAAAACGACACAACACACCTGGCTACATCGAAAATCGAGATTTTTAGTGAATACCTACAACTAAACAAAATAAGAAACAATCTTAACTAAAACCATGGTGCAGTGTCACAAAAAAAAACTAATCTCTTCTACTAATATTAATTACTGTGGACGAATATCAGTGACAAAAAGCAATAATATTAATACTAACATTTGAAGGTCCACAAGTAACATACCAGCGTTTACCATGTTGTATTAGGCTGCTAACAGATCTCGGCTGCATGAAGCCGTCATCAACTTCAGCAACCTTAGAAATAAGGTTCAAAGTTTTTACACAAATAATTAACAACTGTTTTTCCTTTACAGGCCAAAAATTCGCGATGATGGAGATGAAAGTGACATTAGCTACAATATTACAGAAGTTCGTAGTACTGCCCAGCGACAAAGAACCAGAATTATGCGCAGATCTCATTTTAAGATCAAAAGATGGCGTTCAAATTAAATTAACACCTCGTCACAACTAAAGCATTTTATTATGGTGGTGAATTTGTTGTAATGGTAAAGGGTCTCGTGTAAACATTTGCTTATAACTGATAAGTTGGAATTGTAGAATTTAAAGAACTATATAATTTCTTCTTATGGGAAAAAAATAGTATCAAAAGCACATATTAGCGTCACAATTAACTTGTCAAGCATCCTATTGTAAGTGATATTAAACAAAATAAATGGTGCTTTCTGATCTCGTTTACTCTTCGTTTCCTTACATAACGTCCGAATTAAGATAACTAATCAATGTGGTAC